TTATCTGTTATTGATGAATTTTCGATGGAGTTGATTTTGATTTTTGGAGTTGCGAGTTTCAAATCAACTTATTTGGGACTGCAAATGCATGTGAAAATTGCATTTGAGACGTAAGCTAAATATGCAGAATGTAAGTGTTCAATGATAAAGTGATATTTAATTACGGTGGTGCCAGCGGCATCTATTAGTGTATTAGTGTTATGATATTATTAATGACTCTATTCATTACACAAATTATAAATATTCAAAAATTTTAAAATTATATCGCATCATCTGTTAATGTATTAATTGATATACTAATTGATGCATATAGCATTATTTTTTAATAATTATTAACTATTATCTCCGTTATTATATATTTTTAATCTTTTAATCCCTTGAACCAATAAAATTATTACAGCCAACATGTATATAATTATTGATTTGGGGATTGCTTGTGTGTGTCTACGACACATGAAATATATAAATTGATCACACGTATTTGCTAATGTTCTATCGCTTTAATTGTATCAAATTAATTTTTTACATTGTGAATTTAAATCTAATTTTTAAATAAATATTATCAATTAGATAACACAATATTAAAAATGTTGTCACATTCCCCGTATAGCTCCACGCTGGTCTTCATCTTCCAGCCATGCCCTAATTATATTTATTAAACTTATTTATACATAAGTCTTTTTTGGGGGGGAGGGGAAATTATTAAAAAAAACAAGAGTTTTCACCCTTATAATAAAATGAATTCTAAATTTTTAATTTTGTCAATATAAACATCCTAATTTTTTGATTTATTTTCAATTTAAATCATCATTTTATTTTTGTTATCAAAAGAAAAAATGTTTAGAGTGTCCTAAAAAAGTCAAAAAGTCACTATCCTATTTAAGTCACATCACCTCTCTATCACATCACTTCAAACCCAATCCATACCCAACCTATATTTCATAAAAAGTCAAAAAGTACACTTATTTAAATCATTTCAAATGACCCCTATTAAGCTTTGTTTGCATAAAAAATGTAAAAAGCTTCTTTCTTTCTTTCTTTCTTTTTTTTTTTTTTTTGACTTTAATGACTATTTTTTTCTCATCAATATTACTTAATCGAAGTAGGCATTTAAAATAAATTAAAAGTTTATGATTTAAACTAACAAAATTAAAAATTAAAAATTTATTTCGTTATAAGAGTGATTTTTATTTTTATTTTTTATAATTTTCTCTCTTTTTTAAAAAAATAAATAAGACTTAAATCCCCACTCTTAATTCTTTATTTCACATCTTAAAACGTAAAGTCTTGTTATTTATAAGTTATTAACTGTAATGTGGGATATCATTTTTTATTTTTAATAGTACAGCTATTGTTAAAAGTTACAAGAAAAATGCTCGAGAGCTCTAGGATAAGAGCTGTAAAATATGCACTAATGAGATGGAGGTGTATGGGATCCAGTTTGGTGTGATGTTTAGCTTGAATTTTTTTTTTTTTTTTGGACATGCCAGCTCAGAGCTCTACTTTTAGAGCTCTATAGCATTGTTGAAGTTACAATATTGAGAGGAAAAAAATCAATCAACATGAAAATTTGAAAAAATTATTACAAATTAATGAGAGACTTTATAAATATTACTTTTCCGTTTCAAGATAATACCCTTTAATAGTATATTTTTTTAAGAATATTAATTGTTATAATTGTACTTCTTGTGTTATTAATAAATTTAAAAGAAAGACAAAATAAAAAATTCACATTATTTTAACTTTTAATTTTTGAAAAGTAACAAATATTTTAGGGTAATAAAAAATAAAATACGGGACTAATATTTTGAGAAAATACTATAGGTTTCAAATTTTCTATCAAATGAATAACCAAATATCTAACATGAGTTTTGTAGACCAACGCTTATGTGAGACATTTGGTCATTCATCTGGTAGAAAATTTAGATTTTCTTTGTCATACCTAAAAAAGTCAAAAAGTCAGTATCCTAGTCACATCATCTTATTTAAGTCACATCACTTCTCTATCACATCACTTCAAACACAGCTCATATTTCATAAAAAGTCAAAAGTATACTTATTTAGATCATCTCAAACCACCCCTTATTATAACATTAACTAATATTTTTAGACGGAAGTAATAGAATAATGCTAGAGACCTTCTTAAAATTTTTATTATGGAGGTAAGATTCATACAATGTGAATCCCACTCACGCATATAAAATATTTGGTAAAATTTTTAATAAAATTTTGAAGTGTCACATTTTTGGGCGTAATAATATATGAAAATCCTAGCCGTCTCCACTATCTTTCCCAATTTGTTCCGCTTCCAAAATGCTATATATATGGATTTCGATTCAGTAGTATTTTTCATAAAATGAATGATCCTTCAACACACTGATATATATATATATATATACACACAGAGAGCAGTGTTCAGATGGATGGCGGATCCAGAAGATCGAGATGCAGTGTTAGCAAATGTAGCGATGAAACAATCAAACACAGATTACGCCGTGTTCGTTGAACTTACTTGCATCTGTTCTCCTCATGAACTTTTAGCTGCCAAGGGTGGTTACCATGCTCGTTACAAGCATTCCATTGAAGAAGACTTGTCCACCTATCTCTCTGGCGATCTTCGCAAGGCATGTATAATTCAATTTCTCCAAACCATTTTTAATTTTTGGAAATTATATATACGGTTGCCTATCTTGTGTTAATTTAATCAAATTAATAACATATATTAAAATATTTGATTAATTATATCAAGATCCTTCAATTATTAAAAATATCATTTTATTCACTCGTCCTTGTACATCAATTATAAAAATTTATCATTTTCATCTTTCAAAAACTCTTACAAATCAAACCACCTTCAAAAGAAATGTATTTATATGATTTTCATGGTTAAAATGGTTAATATGTACTATTCATAAATTAGGAGTAGAGTGAAATTCAGTAGTAGTTGATAGGTCCTAGTGTAATTAATCCTTCATTTAAGGAAAAAAAATTAAGTACTACATAGTACATTCAAAAAGATATTTCACATTGTTGAAAGGCATTATTATCCATTAAATTAAATTGACACATGTGAAAAATTAAAGGATAAAATTAATGTAATAAAATGACTAATTGACAAATACCCCCCACCTCGGGGCGGGGGCAGCTATACCAATTGTCACTATATTTTACTTTGAGTTAGACTTCAGTAAGAGATCAGATTGAAACGTATTGTTAGGTCCGTGAAGTATGTCATAGGTCTTATTTCGATGATCCGAGCCGTTCAATGTGTAAAAATCATCAAATACTTTATCTCAGTACAAAACCATGTTGATCAAATATTTATAGCTATTTGATTTGATCAAATTTCTGTCAACGGTAAATATAATTTTCAAAATAAATTGTTCACAAAAATCTGATTTGATCAAATAGTTATTAATATCCGATTAAAGTGATTTTTTATAGGGGCAAAATACTCGACAAGCCCTACATATTCAACGGTTCGGATTATCAAAAAAAGACTCGTGATGGGCCCTGCGGGCTCAATAGTAAGTCTGCAAAGTAAGCTAGAGGCAAGCCTGACCCTTTTTACTTTTTATATTAATTGGATATTTATTGTTCCAATTGTATCAATTTTTTCATTTATTTCTTTCACATTGTATCAATTTAATCCAATAATAAATCTGTAAAGAAATTGGATAGAAATTAATGACAAAATGGTCTATTACAAAAAGCTATAAAATCAACACCTAAAAAAAAGAAATTTATAAGAATTTGCCCTTGGAAGATAGTATGGAGATAGATCAAGGCTCATGCTATTCTAAACTTGTATATGCTACAGTTTTTGGTTGCATTAGTGGGCATATATAGGTATGATGGTCAAGAGATAGACGCAAGATTGGCTAAATCAGAGGCTCATATTCTTCACAATTGTATCAACGAGAAGGCTTTTAATCATGAGGAGGTCATTAGAATTTTGACTACAAGGAGCAAGGCTCAACTCTTGGCTACTTTCAACCGCTACAAAGATGAGTATGGTGCTTCCATCACTAAGGTAAAAATATTATTGTCTACTTCTTCATTAAAGTGATGGCAATCCAAGATTTACTTTGATTTATAATTTTTGTTATTATTATTATTATTATTATTATTATTTTAAACTAATTCATAGAAGAGTCCACATGCCTTCAATTACTTTTCAAACCATTATAGTTATTTATAGAGGAGCGTAGGATGGACAAGGTGGATTAGCTTAGAAGGAACTTGCACTATACAGGAAAAATAGTCATTTTAAGTCCAGTTTGACCCACATTGAATCGAATAGTATCATCCCAAATTTGATCCTAATTTTTTTTTTTTTATATATTTCCAACCTAGCCACTTAACTCCGCATGTAAGATTTTTTTTTGTTACTCTTTAGAGGGGCTATTAAATAAATTGCATTTTTTTAATAATTATTTGAATTTAGGTTATTGACAAAAGCTAATATTAATAAGTTTGAGCCTTTAACAAATGTTTGAATTTAACATATATACACTTTGCTCATCTTTTATTACTTTTTTAGTTTATTATGTAGCTAAATAATAAAAACATTAAAATTAATATTTTATAAATATGCAGGCTGATCCTGAAAATCAAATGAGCTTAAAATCTCAGTCCAACCCGATTTTAGGGCTAAATATTTATTCAAAACCCACTACAAAAAATTAAGATTTTAGAGACAAAATTATTTTTTAGGGACCAAATATTTTTGTTGAGAAAAGTGTCGTTATTATATTTTTAGCAATAAAAATTAGACATTAGTGATGGATTATTATCCTATTGGGACCAAATTTTTTTATCTCAAAAAATAAACCATTTTGAGACTAAAAGTCTATTTATTAGTGACATTTTCAAAATTTTGTCCCTAAAAGTCTTGTTTTAGACTTTTCGAGATGACTTTTTAGCAACTATCCTAATGACGATAGAAATTGGTCTCTAAAGGTCTTTTGTAACAAAATTTTTACTTTTAAAGACTAAAAATTTGATCTCTAAAACTCTTATTTATTTTAGCTAAATGTCTTTTGTAACAAAATTTTACCAAAAGTTTGATCTCTAAAACTCTTATTTGTTTTAGTAATCCTGAAAATATCATGTCAAGCGAGCCATCAAGTCATGGCCACTCCTCCTTTCATGAAGAACGCATGAAACATTATAAAACAATCATAAATTCATATAATTGGTGATTCTTTTTTTTTTTTAATGTTTCTTTTCATTTTGTTCTTTTCAGCATTTTGTGAATGATTCAGATGATCAATACTTAGCTGCAGTACGCGCAACCATCCGATGCATAATCGACCCACTAAAGTACTATGAGAAGGTGACTTAGCTGCAGTACGCGCAACCATCCGATGCATAATCGACCCACTAAAGTACTATGAGAAGGTGATAATTCCGTAGAACTAAAATTTTGATATCTTGCCAAATTCTCAAAACATTATAATCTCAATGCAAGGATTCTTCTAAAATTAATTTAAAATTTTAATTTGTATTTAATTTAGGTGGTGCGCAATGCACTCAGTAAGCCAGGGACAGATGAAGAAACACTGACTAGGGTGATTGTTACAAGAGCTGAGAAGGACTTGAAGGACATCAAAGAGCTTTATTACAAGAGGAACAGTGTCACTCTTGATCATGCTGTTTCCAAGGAAACTTCTGGGGATTACAAGGCTTTCCTTCTTACTTTGCTAGGAAAGGAAATCTAAATTTAATATTAAAAGTCTACTTGCACATAAATGGACTACAGAAAGTTTCACATATGAGAGACAAGGGAGACCTCATGGTGGGGCTTCACCTATTCTCTATTATGTAAAACTTTATGCGTTTTATTTATGTGTATGCAGATGAGGTGAATTAAAAGTTCTTCGATAAGGATTTTGGTTTTCATATGAACTATTATGGGTGATTTTTGGTTTGCTTTTGATGTTGAAAAACCTTACATGGTTTGTTGTGTTGTGTTAGATTCCTGGTTTGTTGTGTTATGACATTGCGCTTTTTATCTTATGACATTTCAGTTTGTTTTGTTGAATTTTTTCCGATAAGTTAGAATTCATCCCAAATGATCGATTAATTCAGGAGACTAATTCCACCATTTACTAGCGATGAGTCCAATTAAAGGTTGGCCAAAAGCCCTGTATGGTCTGATCTAAAAAAAATGATAGTACTAGATGGGTTATTAAACTATAGGAACATTTGAATGGCTTCTGCAAAATACTGATGATTAGTTAAAATCCTTACTTTACCATTGTTAAAATTTCAAAATTAAGTTCTCCAATGACTAGCAAAAAACATCTTGTCAAATTTTAGTTATTGTTGAACCCTGTGAGGGTGATTTTCTGACCACACTGCCCGCTTAGTAACCAGTTGGAGAGCACCAGCAAAATAGATGGCACCTGGCTGACCTGCAACAGAAAGAGAAGATTCTGGTGGTGGTTCGTCCACCCAGGGACACTCTATCAAGTTAGTGTATCTCTCAAAGATAAATCAAGTGTTAAACTCACAAGCTTGAGTATCAAAAGCATACCTTAGACCCATGGAGGTGCCTCTCTTTTATAGCCAACATAAACTTAGTCCCAATAGAAGCCTAACTTCTATGGACTCAGGATTACTGCTAATCTTGGACTCCCTTTACCCAAACTGAAGTTTTCTCCCAATCTAGGACTCTTGTCCATATCTAGGTTGAGTTCCCTCTTTATTCTAGGACTCTTGTCCTTTATCCGCTTATCTTGGATTCCGATATCTTCGGAGAAAACCTCGGCCTTGCCGAGATCACCTCGGCGTCACGACCAGGACACGTGGCACATCGGCTGACACGTCGGCGTCACCTTGCCACGTGTACAAAGTAGTAGATAATTGGCCAACCTCTTTCTTTTCTTTAGACTTCCTAATAGGGGGAATTTAATAAAACGGAAAATTATATTAGTATTGTCATTTTCGCCTTTTATCATTTTAATTAATTCGATTTTGATTTTTAGTTTTAGATTTTGTGTCAATTTGGTTCAATTGATAACCGCCAACTAAGGTTTTTGAAAAAAAATGGTCACTAAGTTTGTTGAGATTACCTCAATACGTTGAACAAATTTATAATTTTGTTCATAAAAGTGTGGTCGCATACCGTTCATGCGCACATTTTGTATCAAAAAAATTATAATCAACTAGAATAAATTGAGACAAAATTATAAATTCATAGTCAAAATTAAATCAGCTAAAATTGCAAAAATTAAAATAACACAAAGATCAAAATTAAGGACTAACAATATATTAACCTTAATAAAATTTTCCAAGCTCAAGTGCACGTCTCAGTAAAGTTGATAGGAACAACCCATTCATAAATTTTTTTTTTTGAACGAACCCATTCATAATTCGTTCATTCACATATAATGCTCTCATGTCTAATAGTGAATTCAGTAATTTTATTTTGGGTAAATCGGAAATAAATAGTGACTTCAATATATATATATATACATATATGTGGGGATATATTTTCTGGGTCCCAACACATGGCCAAGGTGACGCCGACGTGTCAGTCGAGGTGCCACGTGTCCAAGGTATGATGCCGAGGTGATCTCGGTTAGGTCGAGGTGATCTCCGAAGATATCAGAATCCAAGATAAGCGGATAAAGCACAAGAGTCCTAGAATATGGGAAGACTTCAGTTGGGTAAGAATAAGACTCTTAGAGAGTTTATCCCAATTCTACTGGGAGTCCAAGATTAGCAGTAATCCTAAGTCCATTAGAGCTAGGCTTCTATAAGGACTAGGACTGAGTTAACTATAAAAGAAAAGCACTCCCGATAGGTCTAAGGTACGCAATTTATATTATGAACAGTAAATTTAGCACTATTGATTATCTTTGAGAGATATACTGACTTGATCGTTGGAGTGCCCCCAGGTGGACGAACCACCGCCGAAATCTTCTCTTTCTGTTGCAGGTCAGACAGGTGCCATCTATTCTGCCAGTGCTCTCCAGCTGAATATTGAGTTGGCAATGTGATCGGAAATTCACTCACACAATTTGGCGCCGTCTGTGGGAAAGAAAGGAGAATAGATGGCCAGCGACGGACAGAAGGATAAGATTGGGAACGAAATCCCTACTGGGAGTGGAAAACACGTTGACCCAAACGTGGAGGAAGATGATCGCAATGAGGAGATTCAGAACCAGAACCACGGCAAGAAAGACGTCGGGCAGGATGGCGACGTGCCAAAGAAACCAGATCGAAGTGGATACTACAACGAGGACGACCTCCAAGTATGGAAGGATAGATGCCTGCGGAGGGACGAAGAGTTGAAGAGATGGCAAACAAGTTGGCAGACCTGCAATCGGTCGTCAATTTTATGATGCAAAGTAATGTCATACAGCCACTATATCCGCTGCAGGACACGCCGATTCCAGCGGCCAATGCCCAGAAGGGAGGGCAGAGGCCAATCCCAATAGCCCCTCAGCACACCAGAAGCGAAAAACACTCTCACTGGCCTTCCAGGGAGGTCAGGCTAGGAGAGTCGAGGAAAGAAGAATCACGAAGGACACAACGAACTAAAGAAGCAGACCCCAAAGAACATCGGCATGTTCAAAGGCAGGAGTTGTGCTTCGACACAACTCATGGAGAAAGGTCGAAAAGGGCCCACAACGAAGCTGAGAGTAGTATGCCGAAAAGACTGAAGTCGGGAGATAGCCGAGCTCTTGGGCAGAGCAAGGAAGACCTGAGAGATTACCTCAAGAGGAAACAACATAACGCCGATGCTGAAGTAACTTCACCTGTTAAGCCGAGAACACCATTCTCGGTAGAATTAGACAAATTTGAGGCGCCAAAGAGATTCAGTATACCGAGGTTCCAAATATACGATGGTAAGTCAAACCCCAACTCAATGGCATTTTATAGTGGGAACGAGTCGTTGCTCTGCAAAGTGTTCCCCTCATCCTTCGGGGAGATTGCATCAGATTGGTTTCACAAACTACCAAAGGGAAGTGTAAAGACCTGGGAAGGCCTGGCCAAGATGTTCGTGACAAACAAGCTGCAGCCATTAAGGGTGGACGCATTGATGGCTTTGAAGATCAGTAAGGAAGAAGGCCTTAGGGCCTATGCAAAAAGGTACTATGAGGTGTTCAACCGAATACCAAAGTGTAATCAAGAGGTGGTAGTTGTATCTTTCAGGAACGGCCTAAAAGACGACTGTCCACTACGAAAATCTTTGGCAAAGACATTGCCAAAAAGCATGGAAGAGCTCATGGCTAGAATCGAGAAGTATGCCAGAGCTGAGGAAGATACATCGGGGACTAAGGAGACAAAGCAAGAAAAAGGAAACGGCTCGCCAAAGTGAAGTCGAGGTAACAATGGATCCAGCAAGCAAGAGATAGGACTAAGGGCTACTCAGGCAGTTACGACTGTGTTCCGAATCCCAATTCACAAAGTCCTGGATAAGATTCGGAACCAACCCTATTTCAGAGCGCCAGCGAGGGCACCATGAGAGTTTATGGGAATAAACCTCGGCAGACATTGTGCTTACCACAATGAAGATGGGCCCATGACTTAGGATTGTAGAGCCCTAAAAACACACTTAGAAGACCTGATGAGGCAAGGCCATCTAAAGACCTTATCGATGAGGCCAGGACAAGGGAAGAATAGGCAAGATTGCCTCAGGCACCAGCAACCCCGCCTCTCCCAGCACAGCAACCTCAGGCAGGGGGACCTCGGGTAATTAATGTAATTCACTCGAAGGTCAACGAAAACGAGATTCGGGGGGAGACCCAGAAGGTAAAACACCTACAACATGTCTACCAAGTCGGGGAGAAAAGACATTGGGCAGAAGAGTGCCAAGGACCAGTAGTGTCCTTTACTGAAGCCGACCTTGAGATGGTGCAGCATCCACATAACGATGCCTTGGTAGTATCCCTCTAGGTTGGGGAATGCCCAGTGAAGCGCATCTTAATCGACCAAGGCAGCTCTTGTGACATCATGTACGTCAGATGTTACAAAGAGCTTGGCCTTCGCCCAGACGATATGGAGCAATCCAATAGCCCAATGGTTGGGTTTAATAGAACGCCGACATGGCCACTGGAAATGACGAGCTTGGAGGTGCAGGCTGGCGCCAAGAAGATAAAGACAGAGTTCACCGTAATTGACACACCCTCTCCTTACAATATCATCTTGGGAAGGCCGTGGTTGCATGCGATGGGGACTGTTCCCTCAACATTGCATCAACTATTATGGTTCCCAATAGAACATGGGATATAGGAGATCCGAAGAGATCAACTGCAGGCAAAGAATTGCTCCATGGCAGCAATGAAATCTACCTGCAGCATACGAGAACTAGAGAAGGCAGAGATCAAAGGCGAGGACATGGAGGTCCTAGAGGATATCGGTAAGGAGCCAGCCAAGAAAAGTGAAGAAGCACTGAAGAAAATCCTCGTCCAGGAGGTTGATGAAGAACGCTTCTTTCTTTTCGGCTCGGGCTTAGCCAAAAAAGAGGAAAAAGAGTTTGAAGCTTTTTTGAAAGCGAATATTGAGGTGTTTGCTTGAACGCCTTACGAAATGCCTGGCATTGACCCCGGGGTCACTTACCATAAACTAAACATTAATAGGTCGGCAAAACCCGTAATCCAACGAGCAAGAAGACCGACGTTGATACACGTCGAAGTAGTGGAAGAGGAAGTAGACAGACTTCTAAAGGCCAGGGCCATTCGAGAGGTAAATTACCCGACATGGCTATCGAACACAGTAGTGATGAAGAAAAAGAATGGTAAATGGAGGGTCTGCGTTGACTTTACTAGCCTAAACAAGGTCTGTCCGAAAGACAACTTTCCTTTACCCAAAATTGACCAGCTGGTAGATGCCACTTCAGGGCATGGAAGGATGAGCTTCCTGGATGCCTATAGGGGGTATCACCAGATAGCCATGTACTTCCTAGATAAAGAGAAGACCGCGTTTATCACCCCAAAAGGGTTGTATTGCTACAGAGTGATGCCCTTTGGGTTGAAAAACGCATAAGCAACTTACTAAAGATTGGTAACCAAGATGTTCAGACACCTGATT